AAATATAGTGTAACTATATGGTTATATATAAGTATAAATATATAATTAAATATATGCATTAATAAATATGTGTAATCATATTAAACATCAATTATATTTAATAAATCATATATACATACACACATACACACACACACACACACATATATATAGGTTTTGCAGGTTCTAAGGTCTCTGCCACAGCTACTCAACTCTGTCATTACAGAGAATAAGTAAATGAATGGGCACAGCTGGGAGCCAATAAAACCTGATGTGCAAAACAGAACCCTTTTGGCCCACAGGATGTAGTTTGTCACCCTCTGTTCTACAAAGTGAACATGTATAACTTTCATAAGTAAAACACAGACCATTCACAAATCATACAGCATCCTAGTTTAAAAGAAAAATTATCCTATGTGTCTAGCACACCCAAAAAAAAGTTTTAAGAAAAAATTTCAATAGACTAAGAAAAAATAATCTATATTTACTGACAACCTACAAGTCTAGTATGCACTAGAATCTACATGGACAAGTTTTTGAAACGACAAGTCTTAGACAAATAATTGATACTATCTTCACACCCCTCAGTCGAGGTCATTTCAGTAGAAAGAGCCAGAAGTGGCGACGTGATCCTAGACATGCTTTTTTTACTCCCTGGGACCCATTTCCTTATCTGTAAAACGAAAAGGCTGGACGAGACGATTTCCAAGGCCTCATTCATGACTTAAATTTAGGAGTACATGATTTTCCTGAAGTTTCTGTTATTCCTCATTAGCACAATTTACTTTGGCCAAGAGCCCCTGGAACAGGTCACAGTTAGGAAGCCAATTTGAATGAAATTCCATTATAAAGAAATTAAAGGGCATTGAACCCTCAAAATACAAATTTATCTTTTAAATAGGAAAGCCATTCATCATCAAGGCACAGGAAATCATTGATCAAGCTGCCAACTTTCAGACTGGAATGAACAGGAATTATAGCTCTGAACTTCTACCAGAGGAAAAAATATATGTGGGAAAGGCTCCAGGCAGCTAATCCTCAGGAGAGGCATGTTTTTCTCCTGGCCTCGGCTGGTGTCCTTCATCTACTGGAGGAAAGGCCGCCCGCTCCAGCCTCAGGGTGACGGCCCACAGCCATCACGTGCAGGGCCCTTGGGGACCCACAAGAACTCTTCCACTGGGTTTGACACATGCCAAGGCAATTTGGCCTTTTCGTTAGGATAAACACATAATCAGAAATGTCCAGAGTGCATCACCTCTCTGTACCCAGTGGTTTAAGAACTAGGCACAGGTCAGAGAGGGCAACAGAGTGATTCAAGGCATAGGTGTTCCAGTGAGACCGATATGCATTCAAATCCTGCTTGCATTACTTAGCAGCTGTGAGACCTTTGGCAAGTAACTCAACTCTTTGAGCCTTTCCCACATAAAAATTAAGACGCTCTGCCTCATAGTGTTCTTGTAAGCATTAACACAGTGCCTAGTACATGTTATGTGCTAATAAAATTCATTATTACTATTATCCTTACCATCATTTTAAAAATAAATACTACTTTAAATAATATTATTGTTGTTGATATCATACTCTCAGGGAAAATGTGACTGAGCTGCTGTTGCAATCACCAAAGGCTCCACAGAGTACTGCCAAATGGTTTAAAGGCAGTAAGCTTAAAAAAATATGGGTTTTTGTTGTTGTTGTTGTTGTTTTGTTTTTGTTTTTGTTTTAGACAGAGTCTCACTCTGTCACCCAGGCTAGAGAGCAGTGGCACAATCTCAGCTCACTGAAACCTCCGCCTCCTGGGTTCAAGCGATTCTCCTGCCTCAGCCTCCCAAGTAGCTGGGATTACAGGCGCCCACCACCACACTAAGCTAATTTTTGTATTTTTAGTAGAGATGGGGTTTCACCATGCTGGCCAGGCTAGTCTCAAACTCCTGACCTCAGCCTCCCAAAGTGCTGAGATTACAGGCATGAGCCACTGCAGCCAGCTGCAAAACATGCTTTCTTTAGAGAGGTCATCTGCAGACGACTCCCCATGTCAGGTCCAGAAGGTGTACAGGAATGTGCAGGCCAACAAAGACATCCTGTGAACACCAACAGCTGGGAGAAGTAAACAGAGGCCATGTGGGCAGCAGAAAGACAGCCAGCCAGCCCAGCAGACCCCAGAGTCAACAGAGGCCCTGGGTACAAGAGAGCTAGAAATATCCAGGAGTAAGAGGCTCTAACAGGGTGTTTTTCTAAACTGTGATTGATGACAGCCTCTGGTCCTGTTTTCAACTTTCCAGCCCATTAGGGTCTCACACTGAAACACAAGGTCAGGAAACCCTTAGCACCACTGCTTCCTGTATTCTGTAATCCAAAATCTAATAACCCAGTACCATCATCAAAATATTTTCATAGTAAAGCTGCTACTGTTATCATTAACTACCCTTTAAAGTAGTGGTTTTCAAGCCTATATCCTGTGTCCTTTTTTACCAAAGTAAAACTTTGTTTTCAGGCTTGAAAACTACTATCATTGGCTTTTTTACCAAAGTAAAAAGGGACACAGGGTATAGGCTTGAAAACCACTATCACTGGCTACCCTTTAAAGCAGTGGTAATTTCATTTCTGAAATGAAATAAAATTTATAGATGATAAAACCTCCCATCATAATGACCACCAAAAACATGTCCACAAGATTTCTAAATGTCGCATAGGAATTGGAAATGTCCTTGGTTAAGATCTACTGCTATAAGCTACCAAAACTTAATCTATTTAGAACAGCCAGCCCTTGATAGTCACAGCACTATAGCATTTGGTCATGAAAGGGACCTCAGAGGGGTAGTCCAACCCTGTTATTTTATAACTAAAGCACTAAGGCCCAGAGAGTTTAAGATTCTAGCCTCAAGTCATCCAGCAAGAATGCTAGCAGGGCGGGCAGATCCCAGACTGCTCCCTTGCTGTTCAAGATTCGAAAAATAAAGTAGATTATAAACTGAAGGCTGTCCTGATATTTTCTAAAGATAAAATCATAAAAACTACAGAAGAATAAATTATTTAAGAAGTGGATACAAGGTTGGGCACAGTGGCTCATGCCTGTTATCCCAGCACTTTGGGAGGCCAAGGTGGGAGGATCTCTTGAGCCCAGGATTTGAGACCAGCCTGGGTAACACGATAAAACCTTGTCTCTACAAAAAAAAAACCAAAAATTAGCCAGGTGCAGTGACAGGCAGCTGTGGTCCCAGTCACTTGGGAGGCTGAGGTAGGAGGATCACGTGAGCACAGGAGCCAGAGGTTGCAGTGAGCTGTGATTGTGCCACTGCACTCCAGCCTGGGCAACAGAGTGAGATCCTGTCTCCAAAAAACAAAACAAAACAAAATAGATACAATTAGCCTACAATAGTTCCTTGTTCTCATTTTTTTCTCAAAATAAAAATATCTAAAAATTATTAATAACCATCAACAATTGAGTATATGTCCTGAAGAGTCTCAGG